AGCAGGAACACGTGCCCCTCCTTCCCCCAACACCAGTCAGCGACCAGGGGGTGCCTCACAAGTGATCTGACTGTCATCGTAAAAGCAGCCATGCTACTGACAGCCCTGCTCTCTGGGCAGCACTTGTAGGGGGGGGCACTGGTGCTCCTGCCTGCCCGCTGGCTAAACGGGGAGTGCAGCCTGACCCGGGGTGGGGGGGTGCACCTCCTACACGTTGCCCCTGTGCCAAGTGGTGTGAATTCCCTGCAGCAAGGATCCTCTTAGTGTCTGGCATATCCAGACAGTGATAGAGACCTGGAAATGTGTTGTCCTCCCTTGAGCCAGCAGCCGCTGAGCCCCGGAGCACGTGTGGGGGCAGCAGGGCACAGCAGAGGGGTTCAACAGCTTGTGCTAAAGTCCTTACTGTGCATCGGGGGATTGGGGCACGCCTGACCATGTGCCAGTAGCACCAAGTGTCCGTGTTCCTTCCACAGTCATCTGCCACGTGGTGGGGATCACCTACCAGCATGTTGATCGGTGGTTGCTGGCGGAGATGCTGGGAGACCTCTCAGGTAAGTTCCCCAAAGGGAAGCCAGACCCCTCTCAGAAATGAGCCCCTCGCCCTACATCCAAAGTGAATCAAGGGAGTCTGTGAGCTGTACTGCTACTGGTGTGACTCCAGGCTGTTTGGGTTGGGTTTTGGGAATGCTGTCCCAGCTACAGGGGTCCTGGGGCCCTTATTCCATGCGCTGCTGAACTTAGTCACCCTACTTGCTCTCCACTGGCAGTCTCAGGGCAGACTGGGTGCTTTATCACTTCCCTTGAAGATCTACTCTGTCCTGGCACCCCCTGCTTAAACACACATGCCTTCACACCTCGCCTTCCCTGTGCCAAACTACTGTTGGCTCATTCCCTTGGCTTCTCCACAGACAGCCAGCTCAAGGTCTGGATGAGCAAATATGGCTGGACAGAAACTGAGCCTGGCAAGGTCTTCATCTGCAACCAGGAGGAGAGCGTCAAGCCCAAGAACATTGTAGAGAAAATAGACTTTGACAGTAAGTGCCGAGGCCCCACTGGTACTGAGGATGGGGACGGGGGTGGGGGTGTGGATCTGGCTGGAGCGAGTTGTCCACAGAGGTCGAGGTCCTGCCGTGGCCCATGGGCATCTTCCTTGGGCTGAATTCTTGTGGACTGGAGCACATCTTTGAGAAGATCATCAAGGAGCACATTTGTGATGGGCCGGCATCAGAAATGATGCTCAGGGGCAATCAGCATGGATTTATTAGGGGGAGATCATGTCAGACCAACCTGATTGCCTTTTATGATCAGGTCACAAAGGCCATGGACGCAGGTGTCGCGGTGGATGTAGTCTTTCTGGACTTCAGCAAGGCCTTTGACACCGTCTCTCACCCCATCCTAATTAATAAACTAGGCGACTGTGGCATAGATGCCTACACGGTCAGATGGATTGCAGATTGGCTGAAGGGTCGCACTCAGAGGGTGGTGGTGGATGGATCATACTCGACTTGGGGGGAGGTGGGTAGTGGAGTCCCCCAGGGCTCGGTCCTGGGCCCTGCGCTGTTCAATTTCTTCATCAGCGATCTTGATGTTGGGGTGGAAAGCAACCTGTTTAAATTCGCTGATGACACCAAAATTTGGGGGGAGGTGAGCACGCTAGCAGGGAGAGAGAGATTGCAGAAGGATCTGGATAGGTTACAGGGGTGGGCAAACAGGAACAGGATGCGTTTCAATACGGACAAGTGCAGGGTGCTGCACTTGGGTAGTAGGAACCAGCAGCACACTTATACGATGGGGAACTCCCTACTTGAGAGCACGGAGGCGGAAAGGGATCTTGGTGTCATTATTGACTCCAAGATGAACATGGGCCGACAATGCGAGGTCATGGTTGGAACGGGTAACCGGACCTTGTCGTGCATCCACAGGTGCATCTCGAGTAGAGCCAGGGAGGTGATCCTCCCCCTCTATGCGACGCTGGTCAGGCCGCAGCTGGAGTATTGTGTCCAGTTCTGTGCGCCCCATTTCAGGAGGGATGTGGACAACATGGAGAGGGTCCAGAGGAGGGCCACCCGCATGATCCGGGGACAACAGGGCAGACCCTACAGTGAGAGACTGCGGGACTTGAACCTATTCAGCCTCCACAAGAGAAGGCTGAGGGGGGACCTGGTGACCGTCTATAAACTCACTAGGGGGAACCAGAAGGGTTTGGGGGAGACGCTGTTTCCCCTAGCCCCCGCTGGCATAACAAGGAGACCCTGGGGGTCTTTAAGAAGAGGCTGGATACCTACCTGGCTGGACTCATTTGAGTCCCGTTTTTGTTTTTAGGGTTTTTTGTTGTTCTCCCGCCCTGGCGGGGGGTCGGGCTAGAAGATCTATTAGGTCCCTTCCGACCCTAAAACTATGAAACATGGAGTCACTGTTCTGGAGTTTAATTTGTTTGTCCTCCCTTCTTTCAGGTGTCTCCAGCATCATGGCGTCTTCCTTGTGATGCCCCTGTTGCCCACTACCATCTGCGCTGCTTGTGAGAACCTGCTCTGGGTCTATTTTTTATTTAATTCCTTTTTAAATTTAATCCAGCCCTGGCCAATAAATGTTTGGAGAGATCTTTTCTTGTTTTCTCTCAGGGGTGGGAGGATGGGGGAGCCCCAGCTCTGGGTAAGGCTCCTGGGGGGTGGGAGTGCTGTTGGGCTGGAACTGGCATGTTGCCCAAGACAGACTCTCTCCTCTGGACAGTTGCTGGCTGGATTGAGGGTCCACCCTCCCACCCCCAGCCACGAATTGGAGGAATAATGACCTCCTTGCGCAGAGCACGACCACTTTGCCCAGCTAGGCAAAGAACCCGGGACTCCTGGGGTGAGGTAACCAGCCCCACACTAATAAGCCTAAGTAGGACTCCTGGCAGCTGGTCCTGCTGTCATTACTCTTCTGACCGCCAGGTGGTGGTAGGTGGCCAATAAATAAGAACCAGCCTGTTGCTGACCTGATCATGCTTCCCCTTGTGGGGAGGGCCTGAGCCCCCCCAGCCGGCCTGTGGTCATGGTGCTGCTCTGGGGGTCGCCCCCTGAGGCCTTTTTGGGGCAGCAGCTGCCCAGTATGAGGACCCTGGAGGGAGTCTCTGCCTGAGAATTGCTATTCAAAGGCCTTAAGGGAAAGCAGGGCTTCTGGGTTCCATGGCTGAGTTGGGAATGGGCACCCTGGGATTCACAGCACCACTCCTGCATGGACCTGGATCTTGCTGCTGGCCAGGAATTGTGTACCAGGCATGGATATTTGTGGGGGATCTCTCATCAGACCAACTTTGTGGGGTGGTTAGATGATCCTTTGCAGGCAGGGTATTCTTCCTCAAGGCCCCACAAGAGCAGCTCTGTGCCCTGTGCTGGGGAGAGGGGAAGAGGCCTACACTGTTGCTCTTTGCCTGGGAGCTGCCACATCTTTTTGCTTTGTGGCATCGGGTTCTCTCTGCTGAGCTGCAGCTGCCATGTGTGTCTCTGGCTCTTCCAGTGCCCTCAGCAGGCTGTGGCAGAGCTGGCCTCTATCCCACAGGCCCTTGAGCTACCTGGGAGACCCTGAGGGTCTCTATGTGGTTCTGCATGGTAGAAAACTGGGGGAAAGCCCTGTGGTGCTGAGCTGCCTGCTGCTTGCCTCCCTATTTTGGGGATGTTTGCTCCAGGTTGGGGCTTCTGAACTCAGAGCAGTGTGCGGCCCCTCAACCCCGTCCCCTCCACCCCAACTCCTTACTGAGCTGCTGTCATTCAGACCAGCACTTAGGGCAGACCTTGCTGTTCCATTTTACCACCTCTGGTGCAGGTGGGGTGGGGATTAGAAGTGCCTCACACCCTTTTGTTGCATCCTGGGAGCCCCCTCATTATAAACAGTGGCTTCCAGCCAGTGGCTAAATATATACATCGCAGGAATGTTCAGCATCTCGCGGGCAGGAAGCGGGAGAGCATAACCCCTGCTCCTTTGTGGAGCAGAGAGAAAAACAAATGCTGGGAGGGCGGGTGGCGGGAGAGAAGAAAAATGCTGATACGATTTCAGAGTGGAGCGAGGGAAAGTAGCCGAATGGACTAGGCTGGGTTGTTGCCAGTTCCCAGATCCATCGGGGATTTTGCATCTAGAAAGGACTTTATATGGCAGCTTCTTGGGCTATGGCTCACCGGGTCTCCCCAGCCAGTACCTATGTCTACAGCCTGACCCTTGTGTGGGGGTTAACCAGGCAGTGGGAAAACCAGTCCAGCTGCTCCAGGCAGTGAGGTGAGGGCAGGACTTGGGTTGGGCTCCTTTGATACTGGAAGTCCAAGCCCTGAAAAGACTTTCTGGGGTAGCAGCACAGGTACTAGGACATGCTGGTTAGCAGTTCAGAGCAGGAACTGGAGGCTGCACCTGTGTGCACATGACCACATTCTCCCTCCAGCCGGGTAAAGATCACAAAGGTTTATGTTCAAATTTGAGTCCGGAATAGCTGGGGGGTCCTTGGAGGGTTGATCCCATTGCTAACAGCAGTGTAAAACCCCTGCCTCTTAGTAGGGTGTTCCCTTTTAAGCAGTGGATAGGTTGCTTTCCTCCTCCTCCTCGGTGGCCAGTTCATCCAGGGGCTTTTAGTTTCATCCAGTGAGCCCCACAGGGGTGTAGAGGTCCCTGTGCCTTTTCCGGAGAACCATGGAAAACAAGGTCTCATTAGAGTCTGGTTTGGGCCTAATTAAGCCCCTGAGCGTGGCTGTGCTGGGAGCACAGGAATGTAGAGGCCGGTGCCGAGCTATAGAAAGTGACAAATGCAGCAAAGCGTGACAAGGAGGCGGCTGCGGAGCAGGGAGCTCCCCCTCCGGCTGTGTTGTACGGTAGCTGCTAGCTGAAGGGTCCAGGGATGCTGCCCCTGCCCCTTCTGCACTGGCTCACACTTGCTCAGCTAGCTCCGGCTCACAGGGAACAGTGCATGCTTTTTTTTCTTCCTGCTCCCAGAAGAAAGGAACAAGGCAGGAGAGAGCGAGGGTGGGGAGGGAAGGGTAGGAAGGAAACGGGGGAGAAGCAAAGACAAAAAAAAGATTAATGAGAAGAGAGCAGAGCATGTGAGGAGGGAAGATAAGTGTCGTTCCATTTGGGCACCTTTCCCGACTCCTTAGCATGGCCCAGGCCAGCTGCAGCTGTGGCCTCCACTTCTGGAACCCTCTCTGGCTCGGACCTGGGTCCAGGGAAGCCTCTGGGGGGTGGTTTGCTTGTTTTGCGAGAGGCCGCTCCCGAGGGGCAGAAATTTCCCGTTGTGTATTGTTCCCTGTGCTGCTGGCCATGGTCCAGCTGGAACGAAAAACCCAGTTGTCCCGTTGCAACCAGCCCAGATGTGGCACCCTGTCACAGACTGGTTCGTTCTCTGCAAGCTGGGAGCGTGAAGGATGCAAGCACGAGGCACTTACTGCGGTGTGTGACAGAGTGGGAGCCGGTAGATGCCAAAGTGCCCCTTTGTGGTATAAACTTGAGGTCATAAAATCATTCCAGGAGGAGCCCCCAGGTGCCTACTTTGTCCTTTCTTTTCTAAGTCCGGGTGGACTCATGCTACCGGCTGGGCTGCTTCCTGGCTTGCTATGCTGCTGCTTGCACACCCGTGTATGCAGCTTGCTGTCCAAGTGACAGGTAACCCTGGGCTGGCTGTGACCACAGGAAAGGATGACTGTCTCCTTGTGATCCTGACACTTGGTCATGGAGCCCAGTTGCGGGGGGAAAAAAAACCCACTTCCTTTTTTGGTGCAAACCATGGTTCTGCTTTAGGGAACTTGCGGTTGGCCCAAGGTTTCTCCTGTAACGATGACTCCCCTGGTCCAAGGGCCAGGAACTAGGCATGAGCCACTCGTGGGCAGGGCCCTTTCTATTTATAAGGCCCAGGGACACTTCCTCCCTTTGTTTCCTTGCTGGAGGGCAGGGATCCATCAAAGCAGCCTGTGGAATTTTAATGACAATTTTCCATTTGGTCATGTCTTCATTTAATTATTTATTTTAATTTCTCCGCCCTCCTCATGGGAGACCGCAAGAGCCGATTGTGACTCTCCCAAGCTCCTCATGGGCCCTGCTTTGACCCTGCAGGGTGGCGTCGTCCTCGTGACGTGGGGCTCGTCGCAACAACAGCGAGCGGGGCTTTGCCTTGCGAGACTGGAGGCAGGGGCCTGGGCATCGCTCACCGCCAACTGGTCCAGAGCTCATCTGGAGGGGGATGAATGCACCACGGTCTCGGCTGGGTTTCGTCTGTGCTCAGCGTGGCCCCCTGCATTCCTCCAGCCCTTGTCTGCCCTGGGGGAGCAGGGTGCAGCTGTCTGCTGCCACCCCATACTGGGGCTCAAGCCGGAGGCTGGCACTGCCCCAGGGAAGCTCACCACCATAGGCTGCCTTTGCACAGGAGCTCAAAGCTGTGTCCTCCCTGGCCCCCAATGAGGGAAGGTGGCTAGCTCCGCTCACACCCTGAATATGCATGATAACCCTGCCCCCTTTTGAATATTTAATCACCTAGCATCCATTCCCTTTGGCATGGCTGCTGGAGGGGCCTGACTGCAAGCTCACAAAGCAGGGCCAGGCTCTGCCTACGTCATAAATATTCATGAGGTCTGGGCCCTGCCCACCTCATGAATATTCATAGTATGCTTCCTCTTTACTTTCTAGACTAGCCGAATTCCACCCTTGCTAAGAGGACTCGGGGTTGGGGGGGGATCATTAGTAATGCATTAATTTTTAGAATTAATTATACTATTAGTAATTAACAGTATTATTAATCATTATTGCTTATAGTATTAATTATCAATATAATAGTATTAATTATATATAATATAACATATGTGTGTATATATATTATACATGTGGAGATATATGCATATGTAAATATAATTATGTTATATATCTTGTATATCAACTATAATATATGACAATTATATGTTCAATATATCATATTAAATCATATATCATATAATCATCCACTATAACATATATTGCTGATGATACCAAGATGTGGGCACAATAGAAGGGAGCAACAGGCTACAGTCGGACCTTGACAGGTTACCAGGATGGGCGGAGGAGAACAGGATGGGGTTCAACACAGACAAGTGCAAGGTGATGCACCTGGGGAGGAACAACCGGCACCATACCTACAGGCTGGGGAACTCCCCTCTTGTCAGCACGGAGGTGGAAAAGGATCTTGCAGTCATTA